ACCCACTGAGCCAAATACCTACTACATTAAGCAGAGCTTCTTCCAGGAGAAAAGACCTTAGGGATAAATCTGTTTTAAAAATAATAATAATTCTAACATCTTAGGGAGAATCCCAAAATGGCAATGTTTTTCATGCATTTTTCCCTGTCCAGAATGTTTTCTCCTAACTCACCGCTCATCGAGGCCTAAATCTGGTCTCTCCTCCCGTAGAAATCTCCTCAAAATACTTCTCCAAGAGCAGAGCTACTTCTCAGTTGTTTTGTACGGTATTTTCCCAACATAGTTAATGTGTACTGATGCATTCTTTTCACAAATTATTTGACTTGTCAGTGAATCTATAAGCTTCTTGAGAGCAGAGAACAAAGGAAAGTACTTAACTATGAGTGAAGTTCGTTTTCTTAGTGGCTTTCCATGTGATTTTAAATAGATCACTTTTCTTCTCTGCTATACCATTTATTCTAATCTGCAAAACAATTATTTAGTCTCCAAGGTCCCATACAACTTTAATATTCAATGGTTTTATAACTAAAACTATATGATCCTGGTCATTTATCCCCAATTCTCATTATCCAATGTACGAAAAACATAGGTCCACCACACTACAAGAGTGACACCGTGTCCAAATTGCTTACTGTCTTTATTTTCAATGCGTAACACTGTGTGACACACAGAAAGCTCAGAAAGACATGCTTAAAATTCATAAAGCACATAGAATATTCCTGACACTGTGCTATACACTTAATGTGCACTTCTGTTCATAGTCTTTATAACACAAGCAAAGTAAACACGACTATTCCAATTTAACGAAGACAGATTAAGGGAGTTCAAGAAGACTTACTGATTTGTTCAAAGTGTCACAGCTGTGTGTGGCGTGGCAGACCAGCACCCAAGTCTGCCTGGCTCCTATACCTGCACTTTTCCCCTCTATACCACGAGCCTCTAAACCTGTCAGAGAAGCAACACCCACACTCACGCCACTATATTTCATGCTACTGTAAGAAAAGGGCTTATTTGTGCTGATTGGGATGGCAACAGTACCCAGCCCTAATTTGAGGAACAAAGAATTAGGGGAGAGATTGGGTTTCCCACCAAACCCTCCCCGGGCAAATCAGCAAGCCAGAATGGAGTTGCAAAAGGATCTGGGAAATAGCACGCATGATGAGATGATGGTTCTTTAGGTTTGTGATCAGGAAAGCCTGAGGCTCCTGCTACAGCTGCCAGGCCTGCAGATTAAGCTGCTTTCTTTTCTTTCTTCAAAAGCAAGAATGCTGAGACCCTAAACTTGTTTTCTTTTAAATGCTATAAGCCTTTCAGGAAACAGCTTTCTCTGGGAACCTGTTCATTACAGAAAGCCCCTTGAAGAAGTGCCAACATTTAGTTAGCAGGGAGGGGGCAGGGGAGGGGAAAATGTTGGGTTGATTCAGTAGAGCCATTTGATGGTGAAAATGCCTTTTTCAGGGGAGCAGAGAATAGCCTGGCGCCTTCTCAGCCATGCAGAGCACACAGGCTCCTGGGAAAGGAACTGGCACTTGGGTAAAATGTGGCTGGAAACAGATTCCTGTGACTAATGGGAATGATGAGCTTAATAAGTATAATAATAACTCCCATATCTTGGGGACTCCAGGCACTGAGCTTTCATATTTAACCTCATGGCTGCCCTGTGGGTGGATGTAATTACCTCCATAAAGGAAAACAAAAATTGAATTGGGGGAAAAGACTTGCAAATGTCCCACAGGTGGGACATGGCCAAAGGACTATTTGAACCCCAGTCTGACAACAAAGTTCACATTACACTGCCTCGCCTCTCAGTGTCTGCGTAAAGAGGGCTCTACATCTGTCAGATTAACTTGAAGCAAAAAAGAATGCAGGACGGAGAAAGTCAAGGAGCATTTTCTCCAATGAGGATTTCATATGGGACAACCATGAGTTCACTCTCCTTTAACAGTGAAAAGGAAGGACCTGGGACCCTTGGGTATATAACTACGTGCATCCCGTGTGTAAGAGTTCATAGGACATCAACAAGGAAGGTGCCACTTATTCCTGAGTACTCACATCAGAACCTGAAACTCCATCCTTAGCGCCATCTCTGACTCTGCCATGTATTACCTGTCTAACTATGGGGAAGTGGCTTGGATTTCAAGAACCGTGATTTCTTCATCTGAGAAATTTACCTAAGAGGAAATTGGTAGGGCTACTGTGAGGTCATGGAACATTCTAAAGCAGTAGCTAAACATAGTACATAATCATTACAAAGCAGTTCCTGTGACTGTTGGTGGGCTTTGTGCTGCTTTGCTGATGGTGTTATGATTCTTGCTGGTGCTGTTTGTATTACTTTTATCCCAAAATACATGAGAACATAGGCACATCAGCATGAATTGATTTCTCAGACTAAATAATAATTGATGGCTTAACTTAGAGCCACATTAATAATCAAAACAATGATGTGTAATGTTTACTAGGGGCTTAATATGTAACAAGCATCATTTGAAGTTCTTTTACATGTCTTACATCATGTAATCCTCACAGAAACTCTGGTGTTGAACAAAATGTTACTCACTTAAAAGTTTAGGAAACAGAGGCACAGAGAAGTTAAATAATGTCTTCCGAAGACACAGAAATAGCCAAGATTTGAGCCAGGATTCAAATCCAGGAAGACTGACTCAGACAACTTTCCCATGGACACTCAAGAGTAGAAATTGTCTGCATTATATATTTGCAAACTAAATTCTGTAGTTTCCTAAAAGCCACCAAATGTGGTGAGGAATAACCTATGGAAGGTGGGTTCCATGATCCTCATATCCATTTCAGCAGAACTGCTCTTATTCATTTTATATATAGAATTTTACAACATATATCATTTGAATAAAGGACGTTGAGGCTGACAAGCATTCAGTAACCCTCAGTCTAGATTGCACTTCATGGAAAGGAAGATGGAAGCATAGGTAAAGGCACAACTGAGGCAGAGTGAGGTCCCTAGGTGATAGAGAAGGACCACATCTAATACTATGTATATTTTCAAATAATTTGTACAAGATGTTACCGTCTTCCTGCTGGTACTAATTGTTTTCAACTGGGGGGACTTGAGATAACTCAGGTATGAGAACCTTCACCCCCTGGGCTGGGCACTAAACAGGCTGAGAGTTTCAGCACTCTCTTTGTGAACAGCAGCCTGCAGCTAAGTTTCAGGAACACTAAGTCTAGCCAAGGAAAAGACAGTTCGTGCTCCAAAGTTGTTAGGTCAGCAGGCCTTGAGGGTGTAGACAGTTGATATGAGTTAGAATGCATCATCCTTATAATCATAAATACCTAGTGTTCTTTGTTAACACACCCATAATTTATAAGTGTGTTCATATCCTTCTGTACTTCTTGAAATATCTTCCCAAAACACCCATCAATTTAAGGAGAGATTAAGAGTGAATCCTAGGGCAGTTGATGGCTTTAAAGGAATAAAGGGATGTTCCTCAAACAGGTTGTGGTAATCTCGAAAGTTTTTTGATGTCTCATATTATACCTTATAAAGTCAAAATGGTTATCATGTATGCCTGACTAAAGTTCGGGATTTTTGGAACAATCCATTCTTCTTCTAATGGTTTCCAAGTAGGCTTTAATGATTGTGAACGTTATTCCAGTTGTTGTTATAGGTTGGATTTTTTTGGCTTTTGTTTTCATTGTTTAGTTTTGTTTTTACCTAATTTTATTAGTATGTGTTTCTGTGAGTAAAGTACAATGAGAAGTCTCAAATGGCCAAATGACTAGAAAGCCCCAAAGAACTCATCAATGACTCATGTCATTTTTAAATTGTTATTATCCTTTTTCAAGGAATTTTGTCAACAAAGTTATTCTGTTAATGTCCCATGTATGAATGAATTAATGAAGATCGATCTTCCATCCTGTGTCAATGTCTCCAGGGCACCATTAGTGAATTCAGTGTTTGGTGCTCCTTGAAGGGGTGGAAAGGTGAGGGTCCCAGGCATCACCTGCAGCATACCTTGATCAGTTTATCCTGAACAGAATGAATTGATTTTCTGTCTACTTGGGCCCTGGAAATAAAGAACATTCTGCCTGGATAATTCTTTCTATGTAGGTTCTCAAGAGGAGACTGGAGCCAGGGATCTCTAAACTGTCATAACTCTCCCTAAATAAAGACTTCCCCATATTATAGAAAGAGGGGCTCAGGTCCTGGCCATTAATTCATCAGATAGATGAATCATTATCTCCCCAGATCAGATCCTTCTGCTGTTTATCTATTCTCAACAAATGGCACCATTCTGACCCTATGCTAGCCAAATCAACAATCTTCAGTGGACCAAACCACCTCAATCTCTTCTTCTTTACCACCCAAATCCAGTTGGTTGTCTAGCCTAGGCAGCTCTAACACACACATTTACCCTTCGGTTGTGGAAAAACTGCAACGGTTAGTCACTTTAGGATTCCCTTCCAAATATGTTTGTCCTTATCTTCAGCTCCACTTTTGGGGAAAACCCAAACTAAGATATGTGAGTAATGTTGGCGAATAAGTCCTGTTTTTAGTACACCATTCTCCCTTCTCTTTCCCTGGCTAATCTCATACCATTCATTGACTGGGCGATTGCAGCAGCTTCCAGGGTGTTTTCTTTGCTTACAGCCTTGATCTTCCTACACATTCTCCATGCTGCAGCCTGAGTGGGATTTCTCAATCATTATGTGCTGATTTGCTCCCTTACATGTGTACTTCAGTGACTCCCTATTACCCAGTGCAGTGCTTCACAAACTTCTGAAACTCTTCTTCATGTGAAATCCATAAAGATGCATAATATGTAACAGATGAAATTAGAACTGCTTTGGCTTAAGTTAGGGAATCAAAGCACTAAACAATCCCATAATTTAAAGCCCCCACCACCCTCAAAGAGAGAGAATGAAGGTTTGGTTCAGAAACAACTGAGCTCTTAAATCTCCTAAATAAGATAACACACCTGGTGTAACAGACTTCTCCGGTGCCCACTTTAAACCCCTCAACTCACCTGTAATTGGAGTTCTCCTTGTGGTAGACCATTTGCACTCGACTGATACTGCCAAGGCCCCTCATCAAGGGCTACAGCATGTCTTTCTAAGGTCTCCCTAGAGCTTTTTGTGACTCATCAAGTTGGCCCATGATGTCAGCAGACAGAGCCCAGAAGTATCCCAGGAATTAAAGCTTCTGGGAACAATCCTCAACTGATGGGGAAAAGGGCTACTGGACATCCACACTCTAGGTACCCATCTTTCCAGTGGACAATTACAAAAGGCATTCCTGTATGATGCTCAGAGCCCCGACAAAATGGAGTCCCATTGTTTCATAATGCACCCTCATGCTGGCTTTTATCCTGGCCCCTCTCTTGTCCCCTGCTCCCTGATCATCTCATCCTCAGGACGGTTTCCCAGGACATCCCAAGTTTAACTGAAAGTTCTGCACCCCAGGATCCCCCTCTGTTGCCAGAATTAATTGTTGGTCACCCTCTATGAATCCAAATATTCTCACGCAAGTACTTGTCTTGGGCTCTGCTTTTGGGGGGGGACCCAAACTAGGACATATGAGTAATGTTGGGGAGTAAGTCTTGTCCTTAGGACCACCAGAACTGGCAACAGTTGAAATCATCAGCCTTTACTAGCTGTGTCACTGGGAGCAAGTTACCTTATTCCTCTAACCTTCAGTTTCCTTACCTGGAAAGTTGAAATACAAATAAATCTACCATTAGTAGATGTGGCCATCCATTATCCCCCTTTTCACAGTGAAATAACTCCCATTATTAGCTGAGCACATGGCTGCCCAGAACAAACATTACATTTTCTAGTATCCTCTGCAGCCAGGTGCAGCTAGGTGCACCTACGTGACCAACTTCTGGACAAGCTGCAAGCAAAAACATCATGAGGGAGTTTCCAGAAAGCTTTCTTAGAACACATCTAGGATGCCCCTATGATGCTTTCTTTCATCTCTTCCTCCTTGCTGTGAAAAGAATGCAGACAAGCCATCTAGAGCTAGTGTAGCCAAATTTGGGCTATGACGTGGCCTGGGCCATTAAGATAGGTGAGCAACAGAACAGAAGCATCCTAGGTACCCGAAACCCTCTTTATCCATCATATCAGAGCCACCATGACAGCCCCTCCTGAATGTAAGGCTTTGAACATGAAGGAAAAGCAAATTTATATCTTGTTTATATCTCTGTTATTCAGAGATGAGGGAGTGCCAATATTACTCTCAGCCAAATTTAATCCTAGTTAAAACATTAGGGTTTTTTTCACATTTTTGTGAAGATTAAAAGAGATTTAACATGTAAACCACTTCACATGATGTAGAGCACATAGTTTGCATTCATTTTTTACCACTTCAATTGTAGTGGTGGGAGCGATGGGTTGGGAGCAGTGAACAAGCCCAGGGGACTCAAATGAAAGCAACTTTCCATCATCTTCCCTGCCCCCAATCTGGCTCCAGTCAATCTTTGCAGTATAGTCTGACACTCCTCCCCAGATGCACAAGACTAGCTGTAGCTCACCATTTCCTCAGACATATGCCTATTCATCTGCTTCTTTGCTCATCTGCCTATTCATATACTCTCTTATCTGCTCTGCAACCTCCCTTCACCCAGATCCCTAGGAAGGACGAACCACTCACTTCTGTGCCTCCACAGCACACAGTGCACCACGGCCAGCCCACCCCACCCTCTTGTGCAGCATCCACTACATTGCATTCCCATCAGCTGTGAGACTTCTCCTATCTAGAATCATTTCCTTCACACATGGCCTCCCTCTTTCTCTGGACATCATGCCAACTTCTGTCCATTTTTCCCGCTTCATCAGAGCTCAAGTTCTGGATCTGATATGCATCTTGCAATTGTGTAGCTCATCCAGATTTGACTTATATAGCAGGGAATACATTGGGCCATGACCATATTGTAATATTTCTCCAAAAAAATGTTATCTCCAAGAACATGTTACCTCCAAAACCTAGTGAGCAACGCCTCTGAGAGATTAATGAGAAGTTTTGAAAAGACTGCAATTCTGGAAATGTGAAAACTTGTGAAAAAGATTTGCTTTTGGAAGGAAACCTAAGGGATGAGAATAAGTGGCTTGCTTCTACAGCTTGGTCATGTAGTATAAATTACCACAGGAGATGAAGGCTTTCCAAGGACACATAGACAGTCAAATTCAGAGCTGAATTTGTAGCCAGCACCTTCTTATGCCAATGATAATACCACATCATAAGTCTGCCTGCAAGGCAACTCACATCACCATCACATAATAATAATAATGATAAGAATGACAACCAGAGCTAATATTTATTGAGCACATATTAGGTGCCAGAAAAGATGCTAAGCACTTCATCATGAGTGTTTCATTTTGTTCTCACTTTATGTATATATGTATGACATGAACTCTTTCTCTCTCTGTTCTATACATAAACAGATCTGGAAAGCTTAGTGACCTGCCTGAAGTCACAAAAGGAGTAAGTGGCAAAGTGGAAACCCAAACGCAGATTCAACAGGCACCAAAGCAAGAGCTCTCATCACTTCGCCATAATGCATCTCCCTGGATATAATGTTCAGCACAAAATTAGCTTTCATTTTTAACCTCCTCCAGGAAGAAGAAGAAATAGCTCCTCCTCTGTGTTCTCACAGTACTGGTTACACCCATCTATTAGACCACTCACCATACTGTATTATAGTTATTAGCTTAAATGTCTGTCTTCTCTACTTGTCTGAATGCCTCTTCAGCCACACTTTGCAGTCTGTGTCTTTGTATGTCAAAGTCCTGGTAGAATGGCTTATACCCAATAGTCATTTATTAAATTTAATAAATAATGATATGTGCATATAATATATGCTTGGTCGATTAGAATGAGTCTTGGTATCTCCACCTATAAACTGGGTACTGTTCACCTATCAATAGGGACCAGTCCCATTCTTTGATGTTAAGCAATGCCTAAGACTTCGTGAGCCAATACATGTGTGCAACTGGCAATAAACATCTTGGGAAAATGCTACCCTATTATTACAAGGCACTATTAAAAAGGGACCAAAAAAGAAAATTCCTACTGTCTTAACATGATCCAGCTGAAAGAGACAAGTTGTCATTACAACAGTGGAAAGCTATTGCTTCTAGTCTCGAAACCAGCAAGTTGGCCTGAAGGCACAGGATGCAATCTTCATTGCATATCACTATAAACTCTAACCATGCTGTGCAAACACGCACTATCCCTGTGTGGAGGAAGCTGTCATTGTGTCTCACCACCAGGTATACAATCAGTGTCTGTTGGGCAGATTGCCAGGTTGGCCATCTGTGTTGTGCTTGGTTGCTAGGGCACAGGCAGGGAGCTGTGCAGTGTCTTGTTTTCCCCTAGCCACAAAGCCCTGGAGCAATGACAAAGGCTGCTTAAAGTACTGGAGTGCCAAAGAAATGTACATATTTGGCTTAATTCATGGAACTGCCATTGAAGGCCGGATCAGAAGACAAGGAATTTTGTCCAGGCTCTGCAGCTGTGGGATCCTGGGTTAGATATGTGCTTCTCTTAACATGTAATGTCCTCACTTATAAGTAAGACAGACCCAGAGCTCAGTGTTTTCCAAGGAGTGTGTGCACTGCTGGCAGTATGTGAAATGTTTACAGGTACTACATGGATAAGCATGTAATCATTTTAGTAATGCACATTAGAAGACAGTTATCATATCAAACATTTGATATCAATTAATTGCTTAGAATGAATATAAAGTGAATAACTGAGTGTTTAAAAGTTGTTTTTGTTTTAGAGTTTTTTGAAAAACAATCAACATAAGAAAATGTGAATATTGATAGACAGGTAGGTGGATATGGCAGAAACCGTAAAGGTAGAACACAAAGGACTGGACTTGAGTGAGTTGGATGAGTTAGGTGTTCTAGCACTTAAATCTGCAATTCTATCACCAATGGCAAATTGGGAAAATTATCTGGATAATGGAGGGAAAAGTAAATTTATTCTGAAAATGACTCAACTGATATAGGCCACGTCCATCAAAACAAACATTTTTGAACATCTGCAGGACATCAGGCATGAGGCTGGGTGTTGTGGATGTGAAGACAACGAAGGTAGGGTTTGGCATAGTCTAATCTTGGACACACCTGAGAAAATAAATAATTTAATTTTAGTGTGATATTTATAATAGTGTGAAGTAATCTGGGAGCCAGAGAGACAAAACTCTGCCTGGGAGAGAGGAATAGCCAAAGAAGTCATTGCAGAGGAGGTAAAGCCTAAATAAACATTATCTGAGTAGGTAAGAAGGAGAAGACATTCCACATGAAAAAGTGTTGAATTGCAAATCTCATGGAGAAATTATATTTTCTCACTCTATATTTCATATGCAAACAAAAGCAGCCATGGAACAATTTTTTGTGCTTCATAAGTGAGACATCCAGGTGTTGAATGAAGTTATATACAATTCCCAAGCTCATGCTCTTTCTACTATATCATATAGTATTTGTCATTCATATGAGAAACCTCAACAATTTATATCTATTAATGGTTGCTGTGGTTGGATTAGCCCCCAAAATCCATGTCTTGGGAGCTTAATTCCTAATGCAACAGTGTTAAGTGAGACCTCTAAGCAGTGATTAGGTCATGAGGGGTCTGCCCTCATGGATGGATTAATGTCATTATTGTGGGAGTGAGTTCATTATCACAACAGTGGGTGTTTTATAAAAGTGGGTTTGGCGCTCTCTTTTTCTCTTGTGTGAGCTCTCTCACCCTGCAATGCCTCGCACCAACTTATGATGTAGCCAGACACAGCCTCTCGGTCTTGCACTTCCCCAGCCTCCAGGACTGTAAACCAATGCATTCCTGTTCTTGATCAATCATCCAGTCTCAGATATTCTTTTCTAGCAACACAAAATGGACTAAGATGATGGCATTTCTTAACCCACGGAGCATGAGATACTAATCAACCAAAGAAGGAATAATGAGATCTAGTCAGTATGTCTAGTCCCAGGCAATTTCTGGACTTCATATTATTTCTCTCTCTCTCTCTCTCTCTCTCTCTCTCTCTCTCTCTCTCTCTCTCTCTCTATCTCTCTCT